CTGCAATTACAAAGCGCATTTCAGCTTATTAGTTTGTATATAGAAAATATATTACTTGGAAATTGTTAGGACAACTTTTTGTCATATTCATAACTATGGTTTGCAGGGGTGTCCCTCGTAGGCCACAACAATAAGGGACATTTACAAAATCTGGACACTGTTAAAACCGTTTCTATAAACAAAAAAAATATCTCTTTATCGGTACCTTGACGTATACCTCAGAGATCTCCCCACTGTGCTTATATTTTTGACTTTGGGAGATCGCATGATATACAAGGTAATTAATAAACTTATTCTTTATTCCATATAATAAACAACATACAATCAATCATATGATCTATATAATATACCAAAAGTAAGTCAAGCCTTTTTTTTATGATAACATTAGATGAAATATATCACCTCACTTTATAACTGAAAGAAAAAGAAAGCTGGCTTTTGAATATTAAACACGTTGTTTTGGACCTGCATGTTAAAAACAAAAAAAGAGGCCCATGAGCCACATCGCTCACCTGATCACGTTGGCTAGGAAGAAGCAGAAATCAACTCAGTATTGAAAAGTTTACATGTACGGGGGGGGGGGGCAAACTTTAATTTACACTAACCCAGGTTGCTTCCATATCAATATTACTAATCATGGCTTTGCTGTTCTTCAGCAGAATTTTAAAGATTATTTCCTATGTATTCCTATGTAAAACTCTGATCGCTCATTTTGGTCCCACCCTACCCACCCTAAATTTGAGGCCCAAATTAAAGTATTGTTTGTTTGCCCTCAGCCGACCGACCCACGAAAATTCGCCCGACTCAAAATATTTTATTGCTCTTTTCAGTTACAATTTTATTCTTAAATAATTTCAAACCAGTTTGTTTTAATCTTGTTAAAAAACTTCTTTAAATTTATTTAAATGCTTTGATTGGTACATGTAGGTTAAAAATAAAATGTAATTAGCGAAAACTGTGTTAATTCTAGAATAGCTAATTTTATTTATTCACTGATGAAGCCATATTTAATGCACGCAAAGGTGTTAATTCAGGGTGTAAAAATTACAGGAAATCACTTCTCGCTTGAACGCACACAGTTGACAAAAGTAGTAATAGGGGATAGAAAATTATGACTGAAAATTAGAGCATAATTTGTAAAAGATAGCAAACATAAATCATTATTAAATAAATTTAAATAATTTCAAAATTGGAGGTGCTTTCTAAAACCGAAATTAGAAAAAAAACATCGTTGATGAGGAAAAGTGGCTAGCAAGGCTGCTGTTTTTACCTTCAGATGCATTAAGTCAACTTACATAAATGTACTAAAACTTAAAAGTTCGATGAGAAATGGGCTTGGAAACACAGAGTATCACGTCAAAAGTCAAATACATTAAATGATGTTCAAACTTTAAAGTTGATACCCGCAGGTTCAATGTTTCTAAGCCAGAAAGAAGTTATCAATAGGATTTACATCAGTTTTTTTTAATATAAATTTTTAAAATTTTTGATATGATGAGTTTTCACTTGATATATCATCTTTCATAGAAAAAAATGCTCTTTACATTTCTTCTAATTTCTAACCCCCCCCCCTTTGATTTTTTTTTCTGTTTTGTTTTGTTTTGTTTTTTTACACAAATTAATACAAGCAGACAAAAAGTAAATAAACCACCTCAAGGTCTTATCAATTTTAAGCATGCAGCAGAAAACATGTCTATAACTTTTTCTTATTGCAGCATAAAGTGCCCTATTGTCCATCTACAATCATGCATGTAGGAGAAAATCATTTTCGAACATTTTTCCTTTATAAAAGCAAGGTCACATTAATCATACCAATATTCAGAATCCCCATGCAGGTTAGATTACATTCGGCTATTTTATGAGTCCTTAAGCCTCAGGGTGGACCCACAATTTTTCTTTGGAATGTAGAAAAATCTTTCAAAAACAACCCTTTGAAGAGCAGCAATATCGAAAATGACTCAAATGAGCATTTTGGCAGTTCTTTGTATAATTTTCAGAACAAAAAATAAAATAATTTTCCTACCTTCCTACCCATTGTTAACAAAAGGGGTCGGAAAAGGGCAAACAAACATTTTTTTTTTTAATTTTAGCCTGAACAAAATTAATTTGAATCTACACTTCCTGAGGATGCTTCCATAATAATATGACTAATCATGGCTTTGCTGTTCTTGAGCAGGATTTTTTCAAGATGATTCCTATATATTCTTATGTAAAACTTTGACCCTCTGTTGTGCCCCCAACCCCTGGAGTGGGGGTGGGGTTATAATTTGAACAAACTTGATTCTAAACTACCTGAGTATACTTCTGGTTTAACATGACGAATAATGGTTTAGCTTTTCTTGATAAGAATTTTTTTAAAAAGTTTTTAGCTCACCAGAGCTGATAGCTCAAGTGAGCTTTTCTGATCACATTTTGTTCGTCGTCCGTCCGCCTGTCTAGCTGTCTGTCCGTCTGTAAACTGTTAACACTTTTGATTTCTTCTCAAGATCCACTGGACCTATTTCAACCAAACTTGCCACAAAGCATCCTTGGGTAAAGGGGATTCAAGTTTGTTCAAATGAAGGGCCACGCCTTCTTCCAAGGGGAGATAATTACAAATTAGTGAAAAATTAATGGCATCTTTTAAAAATCTTCTTCTCCAGAACCACTAGGCCAGGAAAGATGAAACTTAAGTGAAAACATCCTCAGGTAGAGTAGATTCAAGTTTGTTCAAATCATGACCCCCGGGGGTAGGGCGGGGCCACAATGGACGATCAAAGATTCACATAGGAATACATAGGAAAAATCTTTAAAATCTTCATTTCAAGAACAGCAAAGCCATGATTGGTCTTATTTATATGGAAGCATTCTCAGGTAGTGTTGATTCAAATTTCTTCAAATCATGACCCCCGGGAGTAGGATGGGACCGCAATGGACGATCAAAATTTAACATAGAAAAACATAGGAAAAATCTTTAAAAATCTTCTTCTCCAAAAGTACTGGGCCAGGAATGATGAAACTTATGTGGATACATTCTCAGGTAGAGTAGATTCAAGTTTGTACAAATCATGACCCCCAAGGGTAGGGCGGGGCCACAATAGATGATCAAATATTTACCTAAGAATAGATAGGAAAAATCTTCTTCTCAAGAACAGCAAAGTCATTATTGGTCCTATTTATATGGAAGCATCCTCAGGTTGTGTCGATTTAAGTTTGTTCAAATCATGACCCCCGGGGATAGGGTGGGGTCACAATGGATGATCAAAATTTTACATAGGAAAACATAGGATAAACCTTCTTCTCCAGAGGCACAGGACAAGGAAGGATAAAACTTATGTGGAAACATCCTCAGGTTGTGTAGGTTCAAGTTTGTTCAAATCATGACCCCTGGGGAAGGGTGGAGCCATCATGAACCATTAAAGTTTTGCATAGGAATACATAGGAAAAATCTTTAAAAATCTTCTTCTCAAAAACAGCAGAGCCATGATTGGTCATATTTATATGGGAAGTAGTGTAAATTCAAGTTTGTTCAAATTATGAACCCTAGGAGTAGGATGGGGCCACAATAGAAGATAAAACTTTTTAAAATCTTCTAAAGCCATGATTTGTCAAAGAAATATGGTAGCATCCTCAATTAGTGTAGATTCAAGTTTTTCAAATCATGTCCCCCTCCCCTTAGGGATAGATTGATACCACTCATAAAATACTGAACTCCTAGCCAAAATGCTCAGTCGATCGATGTGGCCCAGGGCCTCTTGTTTTTCTTATATATTCCAATGTCAAACTTTGGCCCCCTGTTGTGTCTGTGCCCAACCCCTAGTGATCATGATTTGAACAAACTTGAATCTAAACTACCTGAGGAAACTTCTTTTTTAATATGACTAATTATAATGGCTTAGCTGTTCTTGAGAAGAAGATTTTTGAGGATATTTCCTATATATTCCCATGGTAAACTTTGACCCCTCATTGTGACCCCGCCCTACCCCCGGGAGTTATGATATGAACAACTTGAATCTAGGGTATGTAATGAAGATTTCACATGTTACATCTTTTCTTGCCCAGTGGTTCTTGAGAATAAAATTTTTAAAAGATGTCACCAAATTTTCATGACTTCTTATGGTCAAAATCTAGTAAATGAAAGATGCCTACAGATTTTTTTTTTTCGAATTTGAGAAACGAGTTCTTTAAATGATACTTAACAAATATAGCTTGCAAAAATAAGGTTTTTCGGGACTTCATTTTTTGATAAACTAGACGAAAAAACATTTTAAACTGTAATTTTTTTTTATGAAAAACAAAGAAAGTCAGGTATAAATTTCGGTGTTTTTTTTCCATCTCAGATAAAAGAAATGTATCAATATTGCCTAAAGTCTCTCAGAAAACGGTTTTTCGTTCCTTCTTAACCTCTACTTCAAAATGATATTTAATTTAATATAGATATCGGGGTTACTTTTATCATGATTTCAAATTGAATGCAATGAAAATGCTTCATTTTCTACATAATTCTATTATAGCCGTAAAATACGGGAAAAATTAAGCTTAAATCAATTATGACATCATTATGGATCTAGCACCAACAAGACAGTCTAAAGTCATTTATTAGATCTTGACCTTAATTATCTCTCCTTGGCGCTTACTGTGAACAAATTTAAATCCCTTTACGGTAGGGTACGGTTTTTGGCAAGTTTGGTTGAAATTGGCCCAGTGGTTCTTGAGAAGAAGTTGAAAATGTGGAAAGTTTACAGCCGACAGATGGACGCCGGAGCCTCTTTGATCAGAAAAGCTCACTTGAGCCTTCGGCTCAGGTGAGCTAAAAATAGCTGTTTCTATGAAAGACAGTACAAATATATGAAGCTTCGATGAAAAATTCTGACTCAAATACATCCAACTGCACTAATCTCTAGTAATATGTATAATTTCTTTTCCAATTTTATATTTTATATCTACATCTATATTTTCCCATTGTAAAATCTCATATTTGATATCTGTGCTTTCTTTGTACTGTTATGAGTAGGAATTTTTTAAAGACGGCCATAATCTGATGGCAGTGCTAATTCTCCAAGTTCTTGATATTTGTTGCTTTCATCTTCATAAGCCTTAGGAGAAACAATGTCTTGGTCAAATTTTTTCGCCTTCATCTCACTTTCGTCTTGACACTTTTGTTTCTTCTGTCTGTTTTTAGTCTGCCTTCTAAATATATAAATGAAACCCAAGTTAGTTGGAGACAGGGTTGACCTTTTCAGATACTTAATGCTTGTTTTGTCGCCTTTCTATATTAAACTATTATGAATATTAACAAAACATTTGAACTAGAGATGTAGATAGAAAGCTAACAAAAATGCTTGGTTTCGAATATGTAGATGATGTAAGTATATTTTAGCAAATAGGTCTAACATGAAAGTAAATATTCAATTAATTGCTCAATTATCATATTTTTCTTTGCTGGAAACAGAAAAAAAATGTTACTCTATAAGCATTATTTTGAACTTTGTCGTAAACGAAATAATGTGTGAAAACCGACCTATTAATAATAATGTAGGCAACCAAAACCACGTTTATTGTTACAGAGATGCAAAAAGCTGCAAGAAAACCATGGAATTCTGATTGCCATTCCACAACACCAACCCTGTTTGCAACTGCACAAAAAATTACGAATATCAATTGGGTTTTCAAACAAAATAAACAACCTGAACAGTTTCAACGTCCAAATTTTTCACACGCAGGCGGGACATTATTTCTAAGCTATAAAGATATTTACCTTGCAAACACATATCGCCCTGCCATCCACCAGTGCATCCTTGTTTGCAATGTCCAGTTATGTGGTTACAGTCACGTGGGGTCTTGCAGAAGAGGCTACATTCTTCTGTACAGTTAAACCCATAAAAACCTGCTTTGCATTCTGTTAAAGATTCGGATAACATCCTGAGAATATATCACTGATGCTGTTCTTGTTGCAATGAAGATTGAAATCGTCACAATTTAAACTTTTCAGATGAGATATTTTGTAATTATTATACCCGATGTACAATATCTGTCTTTATAACCTTGCATACATCCACTTTGGCATGTTCCGTCTAAATGATGACACTGAGCTCCATTTCGACAGTTACCACAACGTCGACTACAGTTACGGCCATACATATTGTTAGTGCATTCTTGAATAACAGAGAACAAAAGAATTTCCCTAAGAAAAGGAAAAAAAGTAATATTTTGCAAAGGAAAATTTCAAATCTATATTCATGTATTTTTTTAAATATCTGTTAGTACATGTTTTGGACATACTCATAATATTTCGTATCTTATTTTTATTTAAATATGGCTGAAAGCTACACCATTAAGATTTTCGTCTTCCTGTTTATATATTTAATCAGGTATATCATATTTCTCTATGGAAATTGTACTGGAACATTACAACTGTGGGTATGACAGCCAAACGGTTGAATAAGAATTTAATTTAATTACTAGTTTTGCAGTGAGGTCCCTCCCATCCAAACTGACATCCTCCCTCACACTGTCCTGTCGTTCCATTACATCTGTAAGGTACACCACAATTCTTGTTACACTTCTGTTCGCAGTTTGTACCATACGTTCCATCCAAACAAGCTGAAGTTAAAAAAAGACAATAAATAAACTGCGTTTTTATTTCTCTAAAAGACATAATTACAGGAAAACGGTTTGCGTGAGATGTCAAAACACCAAACGGTAACCGTTACCTGATTTACAGAGATCCCATTTGTATCCGAAGTCACAACCCTCAAGACAGGAACCGTTGATGTGATGACATTGTTTATAACCCAGACAGGCTCCACATTCTTCTTCACAATCTTGTCCATATCTTCTTCCATCACATTCTTATAAATATATATTATTATAACAGTAACTTGATCCGAATAGCCGTATCACGTCTCGTTGACAAGCGCGGATCGTTGACGTGATACGGCTCTTCGGATCAAGTTACTGTTATAATGATTGATTGATTGATTATATGTTGTTTTACGTCCCGTTCAAGAATTTTTCACTCATATAGAGACGTCACCATATACCGGTGAAGGGCTTCAAATTTAGACCTTTACTCGGCACTCAGGACCATTGAGCAGTGAGGGTTCTTTATCGTGCCAACGCCCACCGCGACACGGGGCCTCAGTTTTTAAGGTCTCATCCGAAGGACCCGCAATTTTCACTTCAAAAGCGCTTCTTTCCCAAAACACAATTTGTATATAAAATTATGTAAGTTATGTTTGTAGTCCAGGTGTTCTTATCTAAAACCTTATATTGCAATGAGCGTTAAGTCACATATAAACATTCAATAAATGCTTCGAAAAATACTGCATCTGAAATACTTTCTAAACTTTTGCCAAATAAGGTATTTCTATTTATTACGTTATACCGAAGATTTATTGATAAGAAATGAAGATATGAATATTTTTTTCTTTTGGTTTGTAAAAGTGGCATCGAAAATAATATCTAAATCAGAATATACACCACAATGCTTCTATATTTGGGCAAAAATCATCAGTCTATAGATCGAACGCATAACAGGTCAGAGATTGCAATTCAATAAAAACCCGAAAAATAATCTATTAAATTCTGTGTTATAAAACGGCAAAAACTAAAGCATCGGGTAATGATTGTATTTGGACCTTAGAACTCAAATGGCTTTTCCCAGAAATCTTGGGAAATATATTGTGATATATTGAGCCAATAAATAAATGTATATCAAAGTAATGTTGGAAATTATTTACACAACATCTAGAAAAACAGAAGCATATGATTCAGAGTCTGTATTTCCAATCTTTATATTAAAAATGTTGAGAATTCATTTGACTTTTTTTTTAAATAATTGTCAGAGGTTTGTTCATTTTTGGTTCTTCATACCATACCTTTGCTTTCATGCTGTGTCTATTATATCAACTTTACAAAAACCAGTAGTTTGAATTCCTAGATTATTAAAGAAATACAAATGATTTTGAGCCTTCTGAATTCTCAAAGTGTCACAAATACCTTCCATGTAGAAAATCCCTTTCCAACCCGTCTTACAAGGAGATGTGCACTGTCCTGTAAATCTGTCACACGTTTCACAATTATAACACTTTTCCAAACAGTTATTTCCATACCAACCACTAGGACAAACTGTAATTAAAAAAAAAAATAAAAAAAAGTATCATTTGAAATATCTATACATAAGTACATGTTTATTAAATCAAGTTAAAGTTCTGCATTCTCAGAGAGTCTCTAGGATATATACATATCCCCCTCCCCCTTTTTATTTCAGTGTATTACTCTACTGATAAAAGTTTCTTAGTTCATGGGTAACACAAACCTGCACACTTGCTTTCCATTTTACAATGTTTTAAGTATAGTCTTGGTTTAATTTGCGAATGACGACAATGCATAGAAAATAAAACGATTTTGAAACTGTATTCCATATTGTATTCCATATGCAAACAGTTGAAATGTATCCAATCAACCTCGCTGGGGATCAACAATACCTATTTTGCATTTGTCTCCATACACTCCGACGTCACAACCGTTGGTACACGTTCCGTTTACATGATTGCAGGTCCAACCGTCAGTACAGTTTCCACACTTTTCGTTACATAGCTCTCCATAAAATTTTTGATTACACTCTGATGTTTAATAAAGATAAAATATAAATAAACAAAACATGATATATGAGGGTTGTCACAAAAACAAAACCAGATTTTTTTTTCAGATTTCATTAACTCAACAGAATTATTCATTTTTTGTACATTATTGGGAAATTATATTTTCTTCATTTTTACAAAATATTACTAGATTGTAATGTCACATGCATGTAGAAACAGCATTTAAATGGTGTCAAATATCGGTGGCTATCATAGGGCATTTCTTTTTACTTTTAAAAATTTGTATCCCTACAAACTCTATGGTCTGGTGTACTCGTGTATAAAACTCTCTTAATTTGACATTAATATCAAAAATGTCAAAAGTATGAGGTAATATGCACAAACTGTTCTAGACATTGTCATCAATGGCGAAATCGGGCGATAATGCATCGCATTCAAATTATCATGCAGTATTGATCAGAGTGTGATTCCTGTCCATACGTGAAAGATCTAGAGATTGAAACAATGGAACGACAGAAACGCATGTCTCGGATACTTCTTTTATTTATACCTAGTAAACTGGACCGAGGATGGATTGACTTGTTACCCTATGGAAGAGATAACTAGGAAACTGCTAGATAATCAAACGAAGTGTCCAATTTATGCTGCAAACGACTTATTTAAATACGCAATTGATTCCGGAAGGAATTTATTAACGCCACAAGGAATGTTTTGATATCATCTGTGTTGCGCCGACAGCTATTATTTTTAACATTCTTTTAACGAAGAGGAAAAAGTTAATTATAAAGATATTTCATTGATTTTTTTTAATGCATTATATTCAAACAAAGCTGATAATCATGCAATTTTTCAAACTCTGTAATATCAATGAAACAAGGAAAAAATATTGAAAATGTTCACGTTTGAATTTTTGTCTAGGACAGCCCTAATAATTGTTTGTGCACAAGCTGATTGCAAATACTTTTAGATATAAATAAAAAGAAAAATAAGAAAAATCTTACGTTGCTCACATTGATGTCCCTTGTACCCAGGTTTACATCCTTCACAGACACCAGATTGTATGTGACAATATATACAGTTTGAGTCAGGACAAGGGAGAGAACAATTAGATCCGTAATATCCAGGTATAGGACATCCTAAATCAAACAAATGAAAACGAGTAACTTGCAACTGTTTTTTTCCGTGAAATTTTAACCCTATTTTATTTCTAAATTAAAATCTGTCATACAGTGGAATTCGATTTTACTCACCATAAACTTCTATTTCACAAAGTTCAACAAATGCATAAGGAAAATAATCATCAGGGTAATTTACTCCTTGCAGCCTTTCATTATAATAGATGACGTACTGACCATGTGTAGGACAGATGATGTTTACATGGTCGGGTATGGTATATTTAGTATAATTTATGTCATGGAAACACAATTTTCCATCATTTCTATCTGTTGTGTTGGAGATATAGACAGAGAATCCCAAGAATCGTGTTGTATATCCATTGTACTCATCTGGTGACAAATTTAGAATTATTTGAAAGACATAAAAACAAATACATTGCTCGGTGTGGAAAAGAATGAACAAAGCAACTACAGTATTATGACATATATTTATGAACAAACTAAAAATGTGTTAACAAGTCTGACTAAATCGCTAAAATTGCACGTTTTCTCATAATTAGATAGTCATAGAAGACAAATGCCTTACTTCTATAAATACTTGTAGCTTTCAATTTTTACTATCGAATAAAGACGTCATTTTTAAAATATGACTTCTTCTGAATACGAAAACGTTCAGTGTAAACATGGGAAAATGTAAAGAGTATTTTACTCCCGTGAATCAAATGATTGTTGCCAAATATATGTCAAGACAAAATTATACAGCCATAGGCTGTGAGTTACATATTCCGCAAACCAGCGATTATTCAGTTGTACTGTATTATTTAGCTAGAGGTTCAGTGGAAAAGCCACCAAGATATGTGGCAAAGGTGACAGAAATCGAAAATGGGCGACCGTGAAACTAGGAAATTTCAAGCGTTGTGAGAACAAGATGTGCTGTTCAGCTAGCTGGCATAACCAATATTTGAAGAGTCAATAGACGAGAGACGGTTGTATAAAAATAATTTCATAGGAGGATCGAAAGGAAGAAAATCCCACCCTATTCGAGGAAATAGCAAAAAAAAAAAAAAAAAAAAAATGATATAAGCAAGAGGAAGAGATTGTGGAGAGATGAAGCAGAAATGGATTGAGTGATATTCCCTGACGAATACAAGAAAATGATAGGAAAAGGCACCTGTTTGTATGTGTGGTGGACCTGGAGAAGAATAAAACCCCGAGTGTTTAGATCCTGATCATACAGTCAAAGTATGTTTGATGATTTGGGCATATATAACTTGGAATTGTGTGGAGACAATTAATGACGTAGATGTTTATTATGTACACACATATTTCTCCTTAAAAATATCAGACATGTAAGAATTACATTAGATTTTCTTCTGTTATTATTACCGTTCACGGTAGCTCAGTCGGTAGAGCGCTCGCTCCGTGATCGGGAGGTCGTGAATTCGAATCTCGGCCGCGACTGACCTAAGTCGATAAAAAAATGGGTAGCAACTGTTACTTCGCCATGCGCTCGGAACTTTGAAGTGAAAGTTGCGGGTCCTTCGGATGAGACCTTAAAAACCGAGGTCCCCTATGTCACGGCAGGCGTTGGCACGATAAAGAACCCTCACTGCTCAGTGGCCCTGAGTGCCGAGTAAAGGTCAAAATTTGAAGCCCTTCACCGGTATATGGTGACGTCTCTATATGAGTGAAAAATTCTCGAATGGGAACAACATACAATCAATCAATCTGTTATTATTTACAACACAATATTAAATAAGTAAATAAATAAAAAAGACACATTTCTTTGAATATTAAAATTTGCTAAGATTGGAAGTTTGTCATCAGCAATTTTTCGGAGAAATGCAATAATTGTGAATATTATACGTTCATGTAAATTACTTAAATCTGATTTGTCGAGAAACATTTGTTAAAAAACACAATTACTCGCTGAATAATGAAGCCACGCTCTCCAGCGTACATGTAGCAACAGTCAACACTGCTTGACGACGGGTTTTATTCAATATATATATTGAAGAAGAATTCAGAATTGCAGAATTTAAGCGCGCAAGGTTCACTGTTGACAATGATTTTCTTCGGGTGAAAAATCTTCAATGTTTCACTCAACTTCATACAGTATTAATTTTATATAATATACATGTAGTACACTAAGAAATTATGGATAACCGCAACATTTTAAAAGATATGATAAAAAAGTCTCAAAATTGCACTCATGTTTTGATTTTCGTTCTTTTGCGAGAGTCCTTACTTGGCACTTCTGGAAAATTTGAAAATCAAGGTGCACTTCTGCAATCTATTATCAATCATCTAAGACAATCTCAGTTGTCTATTTTTAAACATGGTTTTCAGTAGTTATATATTATAAAGGGATGTCTTCAAAATTTCAGACTTCTGACCGAAAGCAAATCTTCAGGATTTCAAGGGATACAGATTTTTGCCGGATAATAATCAATGTTCCCTGTTTAGTGAAAAACTATTTATTTTTACTTAAGATTGATTGATTGATTGTGTGTTGTTTTACGTCCCGTTCGAGAATTTTTCACTCATATAGAGACGCCACCATAAACCGGTGAAGGGCTTCAAATTTAGACCCTTACTCGGCAATCAGGGCAATTGAGCAGTAATGGTTCTTTATCGTGCGAACGCTTACCATGACATGGGGCCTCGGATTTTAAGGTCTCATCCGACAGACCCGCAAGTTTCACTTCAAAGTGCCGAGCGCTTGGCAAAGTAGCAGTTGCTACCTATTTTTTATCGACTAAGGTCAGTCGAGGCCGTGATTCGAACACACGACCTTCCGATCACGGAGCGAGCGCTCTACCGACTGAGCTACCGTGACTGATGTACTTAAGAAATCATTTGCATAAATATTGTAAGGTACAAAAATAATATAACAAAAAGCAATAAATAAATATATAAATAAATAAGTAAATAGATAAATAAATAAATATAAAGAAACTTTGCAATTAAAGTATGGTTATCTTTTGAAGACATAAAACCCTGAAAATAAACAGGATAAATTGATAAAATTATTTTGAAAATATACTGGATGACCTGAAAGTTATCGAACATTCAAGTAAATACGCAAAATTTTTGAGAAGAAAAATTAAATGAAAAACGAAAAATAACAAGTTTAACAAATTAATAAGAAAGAAAAAAAATAAGACAACTTACTCCAGGCAGCATTTCCAGTCCTGTAGTAAATCAGTATGTTGTTTATGCTAAGAATTCTGCCAAGGTTAACCCACCACGTAGCTGTTCTTTGATCACTTGTTGACACACTGCATTGTTTACCAGCATATGATCTGTCTACTTTCAAACCGTCTACGGCTTTTTCTGGACCAGAAACTGCTGGATCGTGCGTAGTGTTTTGCCATGTTTGTTTATTATAGGCCAAGTTCTCTAAAATACATTTTTTTTTTCAATCAAAATTGTCAATAGCGATGGACATGCGTTGTTTTCTGATGAAGTCTGCTGTGAGAAATATGTAACTACTAAGACACCCCCCCCCCCCATTTTTAAACAAGTATCAAAATTATTGTATATCACAGAAATCATATATTTATACTTATCACAACAAATTGTGAATAAACATTAAGAAATTATTCATATATATATATATATATATATATATATATATATATATATATATATATATATATATATATATATATATATATATATATATATATATATATATATATGGAAAGCACAAAAAAATTCACTTTTATAAGGATACCCACTTCCGCCCAGCAGGGGGTTGAACTCTCGACCTACGGAATTTGTCTCCTAGCAGTACAAGAACAGCGTGATAGACAGCTCAGCCATCTAGGCAAGTCAATAAAACTTGCTTTCGATGCCGATGGAATTCTCGCGGCGCCGATCTACACTACACGGTCATTGAGAATGGAAGTGAGATACATATATGGACAATATATATATATATATATAGATATAGATATATATATAAAGATACAAAGATTTTACATATTTGGCAATCTTAATCTTAATTGCAATATTTTTTTAAGGGCTAGTATATTTTCTTGGGTTGTATATCAACATGTGTATGTGTGTTTGTTTGTTTGTCTTTTTTTAAGCGTAAGAATGTGACAGATAAATTAAACGTTTAATTAAAATTTATGACGTAATCTTTTTAATGAATTTATCTTTTTTATTTATTTATTCATTCTTTTTTTTTCAAATTACGAAAAAGTAAAGTTGGACATTGAAATCAGGTTATTAGATAATACAAAGATCAATTTCATTGGCTTTGTGTAAATTCTATGATTAATACAATGACCTTTTCAGCAAATACAATCAATCATAAAATCAAATGCTGACTGACATTTTTTCATACAAATTGTTAGACCATTCTTTTTTTGCACTGAAATGTCTTTTCCGTTTGCCCGATCATGACAAGGAGAGCCATTAGGTGTGACTGGTCAATAGGGGATGCTTATTCCTCCATATCACATGATCCCACCTACGATGTTTTTTAAGGTCCGCGTTTGCTCTGCTTCCTAGTTCAATTGTTCCAAGAGACTTTTGGTTATCTTCGTGTCTCATTGTATTAAAATATATGTTAATAAATAAATATTAAAAGTGTTCTGAAATCATTATAAATATTTGATGAAGAGCTGTTTTTCCTGCAATTTACACCCACGTTTTTCTCCTCTCTCTCTCTCTCTCTCTCTCTCTCTCTCCAATACCACAATAGTATTCTTCTACCCTGCTTTCAGGATACATTGGGTATAAAGGCGCAGAGAATTTTTATTCCATACATAAAAAGTAAAAGAATATACAATACTCTCAAAATAAATGTAAGGTGCATGTTTGACCCATAAAATATTTACTAAACACATGAAATGATTTCAGACGTCTTTATAAATAGATGAGATACCAAGTAAACCGTGGTAGTGTCAATACACACATAGTGTTCTTAAGTTCATGTATTTTCTTTCTGATTTGACAAAAAATGTCCTTATGTAACCAACACCTGGGTATGCTTATTGAATGTGAAATAAACATTTTGTAAATATAATGAATGTTCTGTGTTATGAAAATGTGAAGGTTAGGCTAATATCAAGTCAATTTCCGCAATTTGAGACATAAAGATCCGATACATGTTTAATATGTTTGTTTGTTTTTTTTTTTTAAATTATTTTTTAGAATTATCATTTATGTTTATTTTACATGATTTCTCCTGGGGGGCGGGGGGGTGGGGGGTTAGCAAAAGTTATGATATAAATGATGGGTTTTAAGTCAATTCCATCATATATCGTAGAGAAACATTTGTGCTGCTAAATCGAAATATACAGATACCACACTTATCTGCATGATAATGAAGACTATTTTGAAATCCATAATTATGAAAATGACTTACCATACCCGTGCGTACGAGTAATTACATTGACAAAAAAACATATCAGAGAGCTCAAAAACTGCATACTTGTTCATTTACTTACTCTCAAACTAGGAAGTTAAATATTAAGGCAACCGGCCGGAACTTGTTTATTCATATCATTTAAATTCCTGTCGGGTAGAAAGGAAAGCGTTACATTTTGCATAAGATGACTGCTATCAAATTAAATAATTCAAAGTTGAAGAGCAATTATTTGCTTCTAAATGTTTTTTTTTTTTTTTTTTGTTGTGTTTTTCATGTACTTTGAAGGTAATATTAATGAGATTAAAACTTCATGACATTGATTGGATGTAAGAATAATTGTTTTCATGCAATTGAATAATTTGATTCCCCCGTAAATTTTTGAATACATGTTGAATGGTTTGAAGTGGTTTAAAATTTTATTACTTATAATATTTTATGTCAAAAGGCTAAAATAAACGGATATCTAAAAATAGGCTGCTTTGAGAAATATATGTAATTGTTTTCCGAAAGATAGATATTGATTAGAAGAACATCTTTTTTTTTTTTTTTATACTAGTTGTAAAATTATATTGACTTCTACCAAATACATCACTGGTGTTTGTTGTGATAGTATTTTGATCAAAATCTTCTTTTTCAGTTTGTTACAATTCTCCCATAGCCTTTTTTTATGCAGTGAAAAATTATCCTCTCCTTGCAAAAACTGTGTATCTGAGAATATAAAATACAGTGCATATTGGGTATGGTTTTGTAAAGTTTGCAATCTAGTCGTAGTTATAATTTGCCATAAATACCATTTTCACATGGTTCATGTGATGAATGCATTTGTTTGAAGCCTTCTATGATTAAATCATTAATTAAATATTCAGCATATACACGTACTTTGGTAGGGTCTACTTGTATTTTCACTGCACCTACATTAAGTCAGTCTTAAGGGATACTACTTTTGTCTATTGATAAGAGATACGATAAACAATTTGCTGAGCAAATGTTGGTCTTCTGGATGTCTTCAAATTATGTTATATGAAGACAACTACATATACCCAAAGATGTGTCGCAATAACTCAATTAATTCTGATATATTTCAAAACTGGACTGTCAATTGAACAACAATAAAAACATGAATATATAATATTGTACTCTAATTATTTTGAAATGGAATACCATTTATTACATATAATTGGAACTACACAATTTCAAAATTATGCATTACAGATGCAATTTTTTTTAAAATAGATTCGTTATATTCAATTACTGTATTAAAAAAAAAAACAACAACAACACAATTTGAGATTTCTCCTGTATGCCTGCATTATCTGCTTTATTATATATATTCGTAAGTTTCATGTTTCACATTACTGTTGTCTTATTGTTGTAGTGGTTTAAGTCCATGATGTCGTTACTTAGCTGGATGCAAGATGCTCTTGTTTTTTCTAAAGATGTTGAAGCACGCCGTAATAGAGGATAGAAAGCAGACGTGCAAAAAAATTAAAGGGATGCGAGTGTGAGAGATTACAGTTAGAGAAAAAAAAGTCTCAGGGAAAGTAAGCACATCATAAGAAAGGCATATAGAAAAGAAAAAAATAAAGGTTAGAATAAGAAATATTATATGGTTAGGAACAATGTTTGAAAGAGGAAACGCTTTCTTTCGCCTAATGCAGTTGAGAGAGACGCAAAAAGCATGAGATAAGGTTTGTTCTTCCCAAATACGTTGAAAGTGATGAACGCCGATATGCTTTTCTTTGGTTATTCGAGCAACTGCTGTACTAAAGAAGCAACACAGATCAGAATGGGCTTTGATTTTTTTTACATCCCTAACAAGAAGGAATTGATAACATGTGCACGGGTACGTAATGCAAGGTTAGTGACTATGACGTATATGAATAAAATCGCAAGGGAAATAAAATCCAAAGACAACTTAAGAGGGAGCAAATATATATACCAATTTTAAAAAAGTTTAATGTTATTAAGATATCTTAATATGCTATTAGATGGTAGGACCATGTGCCTTTGATAAGTAAGCATTCTTTTTCGACCGATCAAACCCACCTTAAAGCCTATGTATTGATCAGATGGACGGAATACACCATAGTCATATTTGGTAAAAAGGAAAAATCCAACAAACTCATTCCATTTTTCTGGAACATTATTCTTCAAGAACAACTCATTGATAGTTCTTCATTAGACTTAAGTCCTGGCTTTACAAAGAGCCTCCCTAATGTATTTTTGTTATATTCCTATGTCAAAACATTAGTTATTGCTGCGCTATCTAAGCAAAGGGGCCATACTTTGAGCAAATTTGAATTTATACTCTAGATATTCTTCCAATTAGCTCAATAAATCTTTCTCAGATTATTTTTTCTGAGGCCCAACCTTTTTCTTGTGATTCTAATAAGGAACTTTTTTTGAAAGAAATGTGACCATATTTTGAACAAACTTTAATTACCGATTCAAAAGATGCTGTCTGATCGTTAATAGCACCGAACCTGTAGTTCTGGAGAAAACAGGCAAAAAACTTGAGAAAAGTTATCCTGAGACTTGACTAAAATAAGTTAAAACACAGTAAATATATCTTTATTAGGTTCGTACGTTTAAACAAGAATTTGCTGCAATGCAAAGAACAAATAATTTTTGCGTTCCGATTCACACATTTTGGTAAACATCACGTATAAAATAACAAAATATCAACAATCTTCTAAACTAAATAATAAATTGATTTTATATATGAAAAGTAATATAAATCTGCACAATATGATAGGACACAGGTTTTGGAGAAAGTTACACGACTTCTTTCTACTGAAAAGGAAGAAATATTGGTGTTTTAAGGTAGCCAACCTCACAAAATGGTTTTATTGTCGTAATGAAATTGTACTTGCTTCATAAGTATTGAATTTACCAAATATATTCCTAAGCATCTAGTGCACGCTAAATTATCTCAATAATCAAGCAGTGAAAATACTATTTATAACAATAATTTTTGTCAACAAAAAGAAAATATGATGATTAGAAATTTGAAGCTTAATTTTCTTAGCTTCATGTTTTCTTTCTTTGAGTTGTTCAACAAATGGTACATCGTGGTACATCATAAATAGAAAAAAGAATGATCCTAAAACAGGAAGATTCCTCTGTTAGATTAATCCATGAATTCAATTTTCATTAACAGGGTTTTTACGGTTAGAAATATATCATTGTATCATTTCTTTTTAGCTGTCAAGTAACTGCTTTATTAATTAGAGTATATGTTTTCAGTGCTTCTTTGTATGTAATCATCCACTGCTTTGTTGACCAGCTGATACTCATCCTGATAATTAAAAAAAATAATGTACATATTAGCAATCAGTAAACAAAATAAAAGCTTTTTGAATATAATATATCTTTCTTGTCTTAGAACATTTTTAAAACTTATCACTCTCTTTTTCACCATATTAGGATAAGCAATAACTGTGTAAGGATATTGTACGAATGGTTTTCTTTTTAAGGGTATTTATTGAATCTTGACAGATTTGTACAGAATTTTTAAATGTATGGATCAAGGAAAAATGATATTAATTCATGTCTAGGTGATTTTAGATACTGTGAAATCACCAATTTCATGGGGGTTTAATTTCCGTTGTTTTCGTGGTATGAAGAGCTCACCGAGATCATATTCCCCACTTTATTGGTACAATTTCATAATGCAACATATTTTTTTCTCCAATATTATGTAATTCTCATCGAACCGGAATCCTTTCTTCAAACCACTTATATTGGACCCCATGAAAATAAGTTGATTTTACAGTAGGTAAATTTTTTTGCTAAGTTGGACTTAAAGTAGATCTATATTCGTACTACGTCACTAACAAATAGAAAAACCGGAACCACGCTTCTTTTTTCCGAGATGTGATTTTTTAACTACATTGGTTTGACTTTTACTCGGCATTTTAAATATCCGGTAATGATTTTGCTATAAGCCGGTCTCGTCAACAAAAGTGTAACGGAAATTAAGTAAAGAGAAAAGAATGGAGATAACTTTAGGTTGACAGAGACACGATGAGGTAATAAAGATATAACATAAACGACATTTCTGTGGATGAGAATGTGCCGATAAAGTGGACAACGAGTAAGCTATTGGGGCCGATGCGAGACAGACAGTCCAAGATTAATTGATATATTGTCGACGGGCAAGGTGAAGTTAATACTGATAGCTCGCACGAGAAGGAATTGGCTACGATTTGACAGCGACAGCTTTTCTAAATTTCATTATTTCAAACATCAAAATTTTAAATAATTATGACTTTTAGAGACACATAACCCCCCCCCCCACCCCCCCCACCCCCCCCCCCCCCCGCAAACCCATCAGATTAAAGCACAATGCAGTTCATTTTCTTTTATATAGAATACAAAGAATAGTAGTAAATGAAAATAGTCGATCCACTTGCAGCACACCTACTTTCTGTGCCCAATTTGCCAGAATCAGTCTATCATTGTCAGATTCATTGTCTATAATTTTACTTATAAATGGTATATTTTTTAATCTAAATCAAGGTATATTTTAGGGACAGTAGGTATTGGATGTGTTTAATTATTATTTTACATATGTACAATTTGATAAATACACTCAAACTACAAATGTATAGTAAACAAGAAGTCTGTGAGCCAATGCTCACTAATAATACCCCCGCTCTGATGTGAATACACAAGTTCGGTTATAGACAAAGACAGTGATAATTAGGAAATTGACATTGGATTTGTAAAAACTGAATCCCAACATATGGCATGCCTAAACAAAGATTGTGCTAAAATTTGAAGCATCTGCGATAAGTAGTTGCTGAGAAAACTACGACCAAAATTTGTTATGTATGTTTCGGACAGACGCACGGATAAACAGGAAGTTGACATCAGGTTAGTACAAAAATGAATTCCACCATATGGCATGCCTAAACAAAGACTGTGCTAAAATTTCAAGCACCTGCGATGAGTAGTTGCTGAGAAAAGTACGACCAAAATTTTTTATGTATGGTACGGACAGACGCACGGATAAACAGGAAGTTGACATCGGATTCGTTCAAAAATGAATCCCACCATATGGCATGCCTAAACAAAGATTGTGCTAAAATTTCAAGCATCTGCAATGAGTAGTTGCTGAAAAAACTGCGACCAAAATTTGTTACGGACAGACAGACGGACAGACAGACAGACACACACACAAGGGTAAAAGAGTATACCCCCCTCTCCTGCGGAGAGGGGGTAAAAATATGGCAAGATATCATTTTTGGGAGAAAAATTTCATGGGGGTCTCTATAGTGCAGAGCTTATACCCTGAAAAGTAATGCGTCAAGGTATAATGTTTTTTTTTAGCTAATTCTTTTTCTAAGATGTTATTTTGAAAAAGAAAACACTTTTTCGAAGGTTGAGTCCATAAAAAATATTTTAAAAATTACCCAGATTGACCCATGCCGCATATTTTGTCATGTCACATTTTGATGCGTTAGCCCAGCAAAGTGCACATATTTATATTAATTTACGCCAAACAATGATTAAATATGGTTTAATAACATGTTTCTGATCTATTTTGAGTATTATAGTTTGACTGTCTAGATTTAAATTCTTATTTAATGACAAATTTGAAGACAGGTACATTTTCTTAAGTTGCAATATTTTGCGTTTCGAGGTATATACTGCTAAGAGGCAATAGCAGAAAAATAAGCATGTTGACATATAATTTTTCTTATGTCTATCCATTGCTGGTATGTATGTCTATGTTATAAAAGCACGTGTTTCAAGCTTGAGCCCATTTAGTGCCGAGTATAGAACTACCTTAAGGTGCACTTAATATTTCTGTTTGTTTACGATCTGATTAAGGAAAAGAATTTTTCGGGGAAAAAAATTGAGTGTTGAATCTATTGTATATATTCTAGTTAAAGACAAGTCTATATACATTTATCTTTAAGAGGCTGGAGTCAGCTTTGAGCTCAAAACTTGAAAACTTTTTGTCAATGAGTTATATCCAGTACATTCTAGGAATAAAATTTAATGTTCATTGCTCATATAAGTCAAACTACTATGGTTTTGATTTCATTATAACTTACAAGACTGGAGCAAAACTCTGGCCTTCGAACTTGAAGATTTCTGACGGATGTAAACACATCAACATTTCCATCTATGTTAATTTGTTGCATCACGTTGTGAACTGCACAAAAGGCACTGCAAAGGGAAGCTCCATCGCTACCAGCAAAGTATTAGAAGCCATGAATTATAAATTATGTTAAAAATAAGCATTTAAATAAGTTGGAATCGAAATGAAACTGAATTAAGGAATGGGTTAAAAAATAATTTGCGATTACTGTGCAAAGATATAAATACCAGATATTCAACAGACATGCTCATTCGCACTGGAAACCTGAATTTGATCAGAATCCTTTAACATGGATGGTTTTGTTGCATTTGTCAGTTTAAAATAAAGAGTATTGGAAATAAATGTAATACCTGCTGACAACAATGATAAGATTTTCCGTCTCTACACCTAATGCGACGGAAACCAGATACAGGTATCGAAGCTGAGAAGTATCCAGGGGAGTTCCGGATGCATTGATGCTGAATTTTGGCTCTACAATTGTCACCGTATGGTCCTCTTCCCTGCTCTACAGAAAGCAAAACATTATATAATTATTACTTTTACAAAGAGGGAGAGCGGGAGAGAGAGAGAGATAGAGAAAGTGAGGGAGAGAAACAGAGAGAGATCTGGTGTAACACAGATAATTCAATTTCATTTAATGCAATAACATTTTTCTGCCATATCTGATATTTTGCTCTTGACGTCAGTTTCAGTTTTGGACTGCAAATGAACAGTAAAAGGAGGAACTGTTTTAGAGGAAGATGTGGTTGGTAACAACGTCTTCATCTAGACAAAAAAGAAGAATGAAAATATTTTTAAAGGGAAAGCATTATCATGTTTTACAGGTAGATGTTTGTTTGTTTGTTGTTTAACGTCCCTCTCGAGAACTTTTCACTCATATATGGAGATGCCACCACTTGCGGTGGAGAGCTGCAAATTTTGATATATACCTGGCAGTTAGGGTCATTGAGCACTGAGGGATCTTTTCGTACCAGCACCTACTGCGACACGGGACCTCGGTTTATACGGTCTCATCCGAAGGAACTGTATCCACGTCCAACAGTTGGATTCGACCCCGCAACGTAAGGATCAACTCCTTACTCCGCGACCCTAGAGCAAACGCTCTAACCACTTCGCCACGCGGGCGACTTACAGGTATATGATGATCAGAAAGTCACGAGATGAACATACGTTTAAATTTCTCGTGTGTTCATCTTGTGATTTTCTAATCACCATACACCTGTAAGTCGCCCGCGTGGCGCAGTGGTTATATGATAATGAGAAAGTCACAAGGTGAACACACGTTGAAATTTCTTTGTTTTGGAAACTGGGACATGTCTTTGAGACTTCAGAAAAAAATCCTATTATACGGATGTCATTCATTTAAATACAATATTAGTTTAATATCAGTTACAAAATTAGGTCAATTCAGAAAAAAAAAAAAAAGTAAAAAAAAAGAACGATGCTGCTCACAATTTAGATTTTATATCAGTATAAATGTTAGATAGAGACACTAATGAAGACGTTGTATATTACAATCTATGCATACAATAAACAAACTAGAGTTATTTCTCGTTCCATAAAATAGTGTAGCCGATTGGGAGTTCTATAAGTGACACGCGGAAAAAACTGCAAAAACATGCATTTTGTAGAATTTTCGGAGAAGGAAACGTTTTAATTCAAAATTCCATGATTTCAGATATAGGTGCCTAGAGTTTTGCTTACCGGTTCAGTTGTGCTCAATGGATCCATAAATATAACAATGTCAGATTCGTGATCATATAACAGGTACAGGAAGTCTACAAAATCCTCAACTGTCGGATACGATAAACGCTCTACTCTTGGTAAACGACTATAAAAATAACAAGAATAAAAATAACTTTCTTGCAGAGGAATGTAAATTTCATATGAGCTGGAAACACGAATTTCTACATCAAATAAAGTTTCATAATTTATAACACGATTTTTTTTCTCCCTGATAAAAGAAAAAAACAATATAGAAATTTACTTTACAATAGTTATTTGTCATTTTGGACTTGTAAGGAAATGAACGAAAAAGTATGTACATGTATGTTAAATGTATTCTTGTTTCTTACCGGAACATATATAGCATTAATGAAGCTTCCTCTTTTTGGAACTATGGCTGAAATGTGGACACTGTATTTATCCACTATTTAAAAGAAGAAAGAGGGGGTTCTATTTTTCCTTTAATCGTGTAATGATTCTTATGTTAAAATTTCAACTTAATTTCACGTATAATATTTGCAAAGAGAATGGGAAAATATATTTTGTCTCAATTTGAAATGGTAATATTCACAATCGATATAGAAAACTTAATACTTACGCGGAAATAAGCCTGTAACACTTCCATTCCTACAATTTTCCTTGGCTATCTTAAAATCAGTATCAGTGTATACAGGTCGAAACTTCATCAAAATCTACAAATTCAAACAAATAAAAATGCTTATGAATAACAAGAGTCAAGGAAACCTTAAAAAATACACATATCAGTCTATATATCAAACCCCTATAGTTCATTAGGGGGACATGACACTTTAACTTTACTTTCTTTCTCTCAATCAAACACACACTTAATGGTTTATATTACTATCTGTGACAAATGATCAAATGTTCTTGTCCAGTGCTTACAAACATAACTGACACCATATCATTGTCTTTTATTTTGTTTGATCAATGTCATTTATCATTTATATAATTCCTTGTTTGTAAGATCAATTAAATAATCTCCTTACAACATTTTTTTTCTCTATTGATATATACCTGAAATTCTTTTCGTAATATATTCTGATTGGCTGGTATGTCAGTTGTCATGGCAGCCATCTTCTTGGTAAAGTCTTCAAGCGTGATGATGTTAACCGGGGATTTAAATATTTCATTCAAAGCAAGATAAATCGTCATGTACTGTTCCATAATAAAAAAAAATGCATTGGGTCACCAGCAAATGAAGGTTTTTTTTTTTTTTTTTTTGCGTTGCTAATAACACTTTTGAAATAAAATAACAAATAACTGATCTCTCCAGTTTTTATTATTGTTATTATTTTTGGAAATAAAATTGTACGACTCGGGAAGTCTTTTTAGAATCACTTTTAAACAAAAGAGCATAAAACCATTTCATCACTACCAAAAGATTTTTCATATAAAAAACAAATATTCCGTATTACTTCTAAAATGTAATAGAAAGAAATGTGTAAAATCAGAAATCAATGAATTAATAAATAAGCACATCCAGAAATCAAAAAAATTTAGTACAGCAATCAATGACTGAATTTATATAATGGTAACAATCTTTCAGCATCTAATTAGGGAAGAACTTAACATATGTTTGCACCATATTCATCCTGCTTTCTCTCATCTTCTTGACATACTCCGCAACGTTGACTTTCCCGTCTTTCTTCCTATCTGCTTCAAGATTTCTAGTGCGAGGTACGTCCCCGTTCTTCCTATTCCCGCACTAATGTGATGATAATAAATAAATATATATATCGGCACCAAGATTATTATCAAACATAAGTTATGCAAAGATAGAGATAATCTATAAACAGTGTACAAATAAATGCATGGTATATATTTTTACTTTTTATTATTATTATCAATATGAAAGCATCCCTTTTTTTGTAGGGGGGGGGGGGTGCATTTTTCTCTTAATTTCATTCCAGTATTTTTCCTGCTTTTATTGCATTTATTTGCATTTGTATATTTTAATTTTATTTTTCAAATTTACCTGCAATGTACAACTGTTGGGGAGCTATTCTGATTGGTCCCTGTTCGGGTCAAGTGATCAAGGAAAACAACAAGACAGAGGGGATCCGGGATTCCGTAGTCGGGCCATGCAGTATAATGATATTGGATCAAAGACCGTGATTTCTTTGTCTACAATTAAGAATGACTTGATTTTGCTTTGCACATTGGAATGCAGATTGATAGGGTTGAAAACAAATTGAGTAACTCTCTAATGGTTGTAATAAATGTCAACATATTTCTCAAGAGACTTGATAACATTGATCTTTTGTTTGAGATTCTTGGATACCGTAATTTGTATAATAAGAAAAGTATAAGAATGAATAAAAAGAAATGGGGGATATAAGCCTGCATATGAATTATCTGAGGATTGCCTTAATGGTATCGTATTCTGCAAGACATTCATTATTTGTAGATGACGTTAATAATAATTTAATTGTGTTCTTGATATATACCAAAAGACGGAAAACATACAACTAAAGTAAAATAATCCAAAAAAGTTTTTAAAAAATAATGTTTTGGAGCAAAATGTTTTCTTTCTTTCCTTCTTTCTGGAAAAAAAAAATATTAGGCAATTTTTCAAACAGATGCCGTGTATCGTATATCGAAATGATAACCTCTGCTTCCATTAAACAGGACAGCTGAGTTACAGATAAAAGACTCAAGAACGCCATTTATATTTAGATAAAAAAGATTAACAAAGCTAAGTTAGAGGGTAATTAATAATTACCCAAAATGTTGAAATTCTAAACAATTCATTTTACCTCAGTTTGTTAAATAACATCTATGTTTTGCTTTAGAATCTATCATTGTGTGAAAACTAACTTGTGCAAAACACCCTTTGTATTAGTTCCTATTCAAAAATTACCGCACTGTGGCAAACAATCATCCTTCGTGAAATGTAAAATGCATACTCTTTTTCCTCCATCATTTTCACAGACACAGCTCCGTAGTTATTCTTATTATTTGCATCCGGCCAATATTGACTGCATTTTATCTTTAAATGAATGCAAACACTGAGAAAACACTTGAGAATAAGCATGCACAAACACTATGGTAGTCTTAAAATGTTAATCTTCAAAGAACACTAAATTTAAGCATACTTAGAGATAAAAGTTGTAATGCTGAAAAAAATGTTGCTCATGATTTAATCACGAATATTTACATTTGCTGTGTTTTTCTACTAAGCCAACTGTGAAATTGATTTGAAAGTCATTTTTGTGTATACTCACGCTTAGAAATATACACGGTGAAACTCGCGCTTAAGTGACGTCACAATGAGGCTACAGAGACGTAAATAAAAATGTAACGATATAGGGCAGCGAATAATTCAAACAATGAGTATATTTTTGATGCTTTTCATCGTGTAAAATGTAAATATAAGGAATGTTTTTAAGTTTTGTGTGAATTATTTGGTGTGTAAATCACACAGACTTGCATGTGGGCATATTTTTCATGAAGCACTAGCGCGCTTCATAAAATATGCCTACGTGACAAGTCTGTGTGATTTACACAGAAATAACTCACACAAAACTTAAAAACATTCCTTAATTAGAGTTCTCCGTGAATTCGTTTAATCTAATATGAAAAAAAAAATGTACTTTTGTTCCCTCTTGCAGATTTGTAAGCATCACGATGGAAGACACATTTCCTTGCCAAATCATTGTCCAAAAATCAGCAAGTGTATTCTTCGTCGGTCCTACATTAAGAATGAAACAATGATAGCTATAGTATGAAAAAGTCATGAACACTAGAGCATTGACTGCAGTTTGAATAAAGGAGAATCCAATATACAAGGCCAGTGAACAAAAGAATCATATAATCAATTTAGTTAATAATAATGACAATGTCAGGAGTGTTTGATACTTTTCTTATACGTTACATCATACAATCAGAGTAATCAACCTTTCGTACGAACAATATCAGCTAAGGAACAGGATTCAATTCTCAGTCCGAGGTTAAGCTTCAAGCAAAAATAAGAATTACGTAATGAATATATCATATCTTCCCATAATGATTTTCTACTAATTGTTGCGTCTCCATGATTATGCACATCATCTGTAAACCCCCATGAAATTTTAAATTCAATAAACTGGATATATTCTGGTCATTCTTTTATCTTTATCTGTTTTCGCCTGTCTCTGTCTCTGAGTGCGTTTACAATGAGCATATTTTAGACAATATAAAATAACCAACTACACTAATATCCACTAACTTTTTTGACTTCCCTCCACCAAGCCCCAATTTTTACCCCTTAAAAATATTAAAAAAAAAAAAAAACTTCTGTAAAGGAGAAACTTCTGATGTACCGTGATACAGCATATTCTAGAAGTGGTGTAAATCAGATGTGGAATCTCAAAAACTTCAAAGAACTTTTAGAAAATTTAAAATCGCCAAATCTTTTAAAAGTAAATAATATCAAAACGTATGACTTTGCAACACTTTATACTACCATTCCTCACGATAAATTAAAAAAAAAATATGCTTTTTGATATCTCAGATAATAGCTTCTTCAATAAAACTTTTTATATTGTGTGCAAGTCATTTACAGAATTACTTTGTCAAAAATTACTATGACTCTAAACAGAAGTACTCTGAACTTGATTTTAAAGAAATGTGGGAGTTCCTCATTGACATTTATGTAGTCTTTGAGGACAAAGTATTTCAACAAACTGTTGGAATACCAATGGGTACTAATTGTACTCCTTAATCAACCGTAATCAATTCATATGGAGCAGAATTTATTCAAAAACTTCCAAATGAGAAGAAGAAAACACTTCCCGTGGCTTTCAACTCGACATTTACATACACCAACGACGTACTATCTATAAACAACAGGTACCAGTGGCTTTCAAATTAAATGACAAAACAGAGTCGGCCAGAACTTGTTAACATTTTGAAGTTTTATTAACAATTAATGATAAAGGCCAACTAACAACTAAATTGTATGACAAACAAGAAGACTTCAGTTTTTCTATTTATGTAGTAATATTCCGCTGTCACCTGCATATGGTATTTACATCTCCAAACTCACTCGATGTTCCGAGGACGCACATTTTTTTTTTTAAAGAGGCAGGCTACTGACATATAAGTTGATGTTACAAGGTTTGCAATAACCTCGTTTAGAGTCAGCATTTTGTAAATTTTATGGTCGTAATGTCGCAGTAATGCCATTGTTAGAAAATATCGCATATCAATGGGTCGTATATTGGCTGATGAGTTTCATACAAATAGTTAGAATTTTGTTTTTATACTGAATTTTTCTACGGAATGTTCTGTTAACCTGATCTAGACATAGGGATAACGGCGGGTGTGACTGGTCAACAGGGATGCTTACCCCTCCTAGGCACAGGATCCCACGTCTGAAATTTTTAGGGGCCCGTGTTATGTGATATGCCCTCCTCACATCTTTAAACAATTTATGGATTTTTTAAGATCAATCACTATTCGTTATCTTCACTTTTTTCATTATATCTTTTTGTATTTCATTATTGTCTTAAAGTGATTTGAAAACAAACAAATCATGGTCATAAATAAGTTATGCTCAGAAGTATGTAGATATATACAATACCTTGTGCTGCAATATACTCGTTTTGTCTGTGTGCTCCCTATAATGAAAAAATGCATATTTCACTTCCCCATTTCTTAACACATATATAGATACGATGGAAAGAATAAAGAAGAAGGAAAAATGTGAGGATGTTGAACTGAAAACTCTAATTTAATTTGCTATAAACAAATCAGAATACATGGTACCATTCTCTTTTTGAAACCAAATCATTACAAACAAAATAGTCTTATTTCTTTACATGATAGTTTTTTTTAACCTCGATGTAGTTAGCATTAATGTAGCCAGATGCTGACTCAGTCCTCAGTATTACTCTTGAATGGTCATCTAAATTGAAGGAGAGTGTTACAGAATCATACTCAGTAATCTTTTCATGATTAAAAAGTAAGAAGAATTGTATGACGAAAAAAGAAAAACAGGAATAGAGACAAACCTCGTATATGGAATAAAAGGGATCTATAACAATTTCTTGATTCGAGATATTGAGGTTAAAATACAATTAGAAAATAGTGTATCTGGCATTCTCATCATTTAGATATATCAATGACATTCGAAATATCGGAGTACTAGATAATTTAACTGTATCTCTAAAAACGTTGTGTTAAGGCATTTGATTACTTTAGTCTTCATCATCCTTTTGTAAAATCATAACTTATAGCTAGATTTCAAATTTTATTTCTGTAAGTTTTACGTACACGGAAAGATGGTCTTATATCTATTTTTAACCACATTTTCCTCTCTTTTTCCTTCGTCACATTTGTATTGTTCCCCATATGGCAATGACTGCAACGAACAAAAACGGAACTTTTCATACACGTAATGCTTATACAAATAAAACAAATTGCAATTTCATTGTGTTTTATTATGACTGAGTTTCAAGGATTGAAATATTTAGAAGAAAAAACACGTCCAAAGTATCTTTTAAAAGTTTGGGGTATGTTAATCAAATTGGTTTTTGTTTGTTTGTTTGTTTGTTTGTTTTGTTTTGTTTGTTTGTTTGTTTGTTTTTTTTTTTTTTTTTTTTTTTTTGTTTTTTTTTTATTATTATTATTATTATTATTATTATTATTATTATTATTTTGTTTTGTTTTGTTGAACATATGAGTAAAAATCCTTCTGTTTTTGGTTTTATTTATTTATTTATTTATTTATTAATTTATTATTTGTTGATTTGATGTCTCTTGCCTTATTACTTATACATTTTTTATCATATGAAATACATGTTTCTCACTAACCGCATATTCTCTTTGAAATCCATCGTCTTTATTCATTCTTTTCTCAACTATAACCGACTCCAGTTGATTTAGAGGTATGTCTCGTATTGTCGTTTCATTAGCATAAAAGTCTCCGTAAGGATTCTCCGAGTGTATTTTCTCATCGTCATCTACATCAGCCTCATTATCCTTCCTCTGACTTTTCTTAGATTTTTTATTTTCTGTTTTTATGATTTTATTACCTTGGCCAGATGATGATGGTTTTGAATCAGTGCCAATGAAATCTGTTTGAGTCACACCCTTGTTTGCTGAAAAAATGAATCGACACATGATCATATCCTTATACTATCAATGCATTGTATTGGAACAGTTTAAAGAACCTCAATTAAAATAATGTCACTCACATTTTCTCCTTCTTTCCGTTTCTTCCCTTTCTGTAGTTTTCTTTCGCAAACAGTGCCTTGTATGTAAGAAGAAATATCAAAACAAAAAGAACAATACCACCACTCCCCCCCCCCCCCAGGAAAAGAACAAAAATAACAAAATATACAATGAGAGGCAATGTTTGAGATTACTTATATTATAAGTGGATCCAAAGACTATATCAAAAGCGAACTAACCTTATGAAAGCCAAAACCACAATAACAACCGTAAGACAAACTATTACTAATCCCGAAATCCCGCCGACGATTACACTAAAATTGACACTTTTACTTATCAGGGGTGAAGTTTCCTGTAAAAAAAATACATATGGCACTAATGAGTCTTTGTCCACAATATATATTAGAAGTACGTCCATATGTATCACCTGTTTTATCTTTGTGAATGTTAAAATTGCATAAGTCAATTTAACAGGATTTAGCAGTAAATGAAAAATTATTATCTTAGGTAATGTTTTCAATAGGATTACATTCTAAAGTGTTTAAAGCCTCGGATTCTATTTGAGCAATTTTAATATGATTGAAACAGATTCAAATAGATTACTTTGATCCTTGAACAATAGCCATTAACAGGGTTACAGGTATTATTAAAACATCTTGTGCTGCAGTTTTCCATACAGTCATAGCCAAAAGTTCCTGAGCTACATTCTAGAAAAATAATTATACACATATGATCTAAAAACAGATATTTCAAAATGAAAATTGATCACATGTCTCTTGAATACGATATGTATATACAAAGTAGAGAATTCTTTGTAATGTTGATAATATCAAATATTTTACATTTGCATTTTTTAAGAAATAGTATGCACCAGCAGTACAGTGATCGCCGAAATATCCTTGTCGGCATCCACTCTTGCATGTTCCATTAAAGTGATGACATTTTTCGGTATTTCGACAGAAACCACAAGGCTGATTACAATTTACACCATACATATTGTTCCTACATTATAAATAGAATTTAAAGCAGCATTCAAAGAGTGAATGAGGATATAATATATTTTTGGTTACTCATGTTAAAGCTGTGTTCCTTCAATACAATTACACTGTGTCAAGAATATGTCAAAAAATCTTTAGATTATTTTAAAGTGTCCATGTGTAATGAATGCAAACTCTGGAGAAAATTACAAATACATAATTACTATTATTGCACTGAAGTCCTTCCCAACCAGGCTGACATCCACCCTCACATTCCCCCGTCGTTCTATTGCATTGATTTGGAACAGGCCCCGCCGTCACCAACATCTCTCAACTCAATACTCAGCCTCAACTCTGAGGTTTTCCCTCAAATTCATAACCTCACCCTCAAGTCACCGTCACCACGCAAAAATTGAGTTTTCCTCAACCGAATTTTGAGTAAATACTCAAATATTTAAGTGTAGCTCTAAAGTAACCTTAAAATCTTCCTCAAGAGCAAAAATGGCGGAAAGACGTCGCAGACGTAGGAAGTATAATAGGTTTTTGCGTATAAGAAATCAACCATCGAAGAGGACAATTAGAGACAGAACTAGATGAGATCTCGTTGCGAGCAACGAGTGAGTCTTCCGTCCGATTTTTGATAAGATGAGATAAAAATTTGACTGAGATTTTCGTTCAGATATAATGATTTAAATAAATTGTTAAGACGAACAATTTTGCTTTAATAATGTTTAACAAAATATTGATCATAATAGATTAAAGACTTTCGGCCCTTCGTGGCCCCTAATGTGAGAGGTCAGCCCCTTTTTCTTGATATTATTTTAAAGCTCTCATGATTTTAAACACTTTTTGTTCAACAACTAGTCAGAAATTCTTTTTTTGTTTTCGGGATATATGCAAAAGAAATATTAAGGGCTGGCCCTTCAAATCCTAAATGGAGACGTCTAGCAAAAATTGAAAGAGTGCATATTGTTCAGAATATTATTTTGATCGTCTTTTGTTCAATACTGTTTAACAAAATATTCTTCCTTTTCGAGATATATTGCGCCAAAGATTATGCAATCTGGCCCCCTAAAGACCCCTTACTGCGTAATATATGATATCAACATCATGTTATTTAGCTGGTGTGAAGATGTACTATTTCGCTTCAGTAATATATTACAAAATATTGATCATTAAAGAGTTATTGATTGTATACTTTCGGCCCCTCTCAGCCCCTTATTTAATGGGTCAGACCCTTTTTCTTCATATCACCTTAAAGCTCTCATGATTTTGAACACTTTTTGTTCAACAACTACTCAGAAATTCTTTTTCGTTTCCGAGATATATCCAAAGGAAGTATTTAGGGGCCGGCCCTTCAACTCATTAATGGGGACGTTTAGCAAAAAATGAAAGGTTGCATATTGTTAAGAACATTATTTGGAACATCTTTTGTTCAATATTGCTTATCAAAATATTTCCCACTTTTGAGATATAAAGCGTCAAAGATTTAGCATTCTGGCCCCTTATGGCCCCTAATTATGTAACATATGATGTGAATATCATAATATATAATTGTAAATTGTTGAGATGAACATTTTTGCTTCAGTAATGCATTACAAAATATTGATCATTAAAGAGTTATTGTTCAAAGACTTTCGGCCCCTCTCAGCCCCTATTTTGAGGGGCCAGCCCCTTTTTATTCATATCACTTTAAAGCTCTCATGATTTTGAACACTTTTTGTTCAACAACTATTCAGAAATTCTTTTTCGTTTCTGAGATATTTGCAAAGGAAGTATTTAGGGGCCGGCCCTTCAACTCATTAATGGGGACGTTAAGCAAAAAATGAAAGGTTGCATGTTGTTTAGAACATTATTTGGAACATCTTTTATTCAATATTGCTTATCAAAATATTTCCCACTTTTGAGATATAAAGCGTCAAAGATTTAGCATTCTGGCCCCTTATGGCCCCTAATTATGTAACATATGATGTGAATATCATAATATATAGTTGTAAATTGTTAAGATGAACATTTTTGCTTCAGTAATGCATTACAAAATATTGATTGTTAAAGAGTTATTGTTCAAAGACTTTCGGCCCCTCTCAGCCCCTATTTTGAGGGGCCAGCCCCTTTTTCTTCATATCACTTTAAAGCTCTCATGATTTTGAACACTTTTTGTTCAACAACTATTCAGAAATTCTTTTTCGTTTCTGAGATATTTGCAAAGGAAGTATTTAGGGGCCGGCCCTTCAATTCCTTAATGGGGACGTTTAGCAAAAAATAAAAGGTTGCATATTGTTTAGAACATTATTTGGAACATCTTTTGTTCAATATTGCTTATCAAAATATTTCTCACTTTTGAGATATAAAGCGTCAAAGATTAAGCATTCTGGCCCCTAATGCCCCCTAATTATGTAACATATGATGTAAATATTACAATATATAGTTGTAAATTATTAAGATAAACATTTTTGCTTCAGTAATACATTACAAAATTTTGATCGTTAAAGAGCTATTGACTAAAGACTTTCGGCCCCTCTCGGCCCCTAATGTGATGAGTCAGCCCTTTTTCTTTGATATCATATAAAAGATCTTGTAATTCTACACAATTTCTATTCAATATGTTTTTAGAAAATCTCCATAGTTTTAGAGATATGATAAAAAATGTCTTGAAAATTCACTCCCGATTAATGTCCTAGATTTCGACCCCTACCGAGCTTCCATAATAGTTACTTCCGGAAAATTTGAAAACCCAGGTGCAAAACTTCAACATGTCGTCTATAATCGCTGAAAATTTCAGCGCTCTAGCTTTTGCCGTTTCTTAGTTTTTGTGTCGACAAAATGGTTATCTGAAAATCGATTAAAGGGCGATAACTTCCGACCGGAAGTGAATTTTAAGGATTTGAACAAAAAAGGATCATCTTCAGATCAAAAGGCATTACCCCTGAAAATTTCATGAAAATCGATCGAATCGTTTGCGAGATATCTTCTGCACAAAAATTGTAAAGAAAAAGTGGAATAATAATAATAAAAGTGAAAAAGAAACAATACAATAATAGAAGGGTCTTCCGTTGGAGACGGAAGACCCTAATAATAAAAGTGAAAAAGAAACAATAAAATAATAGAAGGGTCTTCCGTTGGAGACGGAAGACCCTAACAAAAATCCTTTTGAAATTTATACTGACGACGAGTTGTTTAAGCGTTTCAGGTTTAGGCGGCCTACCATCATACATATTTTGCAGAAAATTGAAAATGATCTTTTAAACAGTGCGAGGAATAATGCCTTACCTCCACTTTTGCAACTTTTGGTGTGTTTACGGTTTCTTGCTACCGGGGCATTCCACAAACTTATTGGGGATAGCTTCAATGTGTCCGAGTGCACGGTAGGAAGATGTTGTCGTGCGGTGGCCAGTGCAATCGTCAGCGTCCGAGGCGACTTTATTCAATTCCCTAAGGATCATAAGGCCAGAGAAACCAAACAAGAATTCCTGAAAATTGCAGGTAAACTTTTCCCCACTAAAACCAGTCTGCTAGCCTTTCTTTTTAAGAGTTTACAAGAGAGATAATTCATGCACAACACTATCTTTGAAAGCTCGTACGTCGGAAAGTTGACTTTTACTTACTAACCTACAGTGTATGAGTTTTTGTTAAACTTGTCAGTATGACCTGTCATGGCGAAATTCCAACGAGAATTTATTACATTCATTTAAATTTCTATATAATCGTCTGTATTAAAGTATCTTTATTGGCCTTCATATTTTTAGTTTTTTTTTTTTTTTTTAAATTTTGCACCCCCCCCCTTTCCAGTGAGAAAGTTGGTTCGGGGTTGGGTTTTTTTTTTGTAACTTTGCCTTGTCAGTTTGCCCTCCGTCCCCAAAAAAACGTTGCTATGTGCCTGTTTCATGCATTTTCTCATATAAAATCATAATTTCTAATTATATATAAAAGCTTGAAGGAGACACTCCTCTGCGGCTGAAAGGGGTGCTTTAGCTGGGCCTCCTCCAGTTTTCGGGCGTTTAAGGGCATCTATTTTGTCTTTAGGTAGACATACACACAAAAGAAAACAATTCGTTTCAAAAAAAAAGACTGTCCACTGACGAGTAAAATATCTCTCTCTCTCTCTCTCTCTCTCTCTCATGGGGTGGGAATACGTACATATTAGTTCAAAGGAATGATGCACATGAATAAATTTATTGCAAAGATTATGAATTTTGATTTTCATACATGCGTGCATGAATGTATATTTCTGAACGAAGTACATACCCCGCTGCTTGATGTTATCGTATTTCTTTGAAATCGTCTCTGTCGTTCTTTCATTTTTAAACTGCCTACATCGAATACAAACAGCAAGGCGTAAAATCAATGTAAAGTATTTTTTTTAAAGAACAAAGAATAATAATCGGATTGAAACAAACAAGGTACGAATTAACGTTACACCAATGGGGAGATAATGCGGAGTCGTCTGGTACGTAGGGTTGAAGGTATGTACTTACCCGTTCAATGTGTCGGCAATACCCCGCCAGGTTTCATCTTTAACCCGCCCATATTTTTCTCTCACACCCGAACCCTTCATTTTTCCAAAAAGTTGATCTTAATATTTTAACACTTCCTCTATCAAATAAATTTCTTCTTCGGCCGACCAATTAGCTCCTCTTTTTTTTCTTTTTTGCAGTTATAACCTCATCAGTACCTTTAACGAATTCTAACGTGTTTTTTGTCAGTAAGGCTGCAAAGTCAATTTCTACATCAGACGACAAATTTTATTGCGTTAACAATAGCGTTAAAAAAATCCGCGAAAATGCACGAATAGTTTCATGTCTCGCCTCAACTGAGTTGAGTACATTTTTATACACCTCAAGTGAGAAAACCCTCAGAGGGTTTGGTGACGGTGGTTTGAGGAATTTCCTCACTTGAGTGAACCTCAAGAATTTGAGGCTGAGTATTGAGGTTGAGGTAGAGGAATTTTGGTGACGGCGGGGCCAGAGCATTTTGCATTGCAGTTTTCTTTACAATTAAAACCGAATTTTCCACTTGGACAAGCTGATATAAAACAAAAAATATACTGACATTTACCATGAACTTAACTCGCTCGGGATAAGATTTACATAAATATACATCTTTGTTTCTAATGATATGTTTAAGATTCATTATTTTCCACATGACCGTAGGAACCTGGGGGGGGGGGGGGGGTAATAGAATACTTTAGAAAACATAGCTACTGTATGCTTGTGCCCCCTCAGTAAAACGTTTGATGACCTTTTTTTCTGCTTGCCAGGGAATTTTTTTGTAGTTGATAGTGTCCCTCCAACTGAAAATGTATGCGTGACTGAAAATAATCTCCTCAA